TCTCTCTGTCTCAAAAATAAATAAACGTTAAAAATAATTTTTTTAAATAAATTAAAATGAAGAGAAAGAAGGGGCGTGTGCGAGGGTGTCGCTGCCCTTGTGGAAGCCCTGGAAACGACCGGAGCTCGGAATAATTACACCTCGTGGCAGAATCTCATCCGGCCACGAAGAAGGGGGAGTATGAACACCGGGGAGCCAGGGACACGTGTGGAGAATGACACGACGGTTGGAAAGCAAAGCCTCGGTGGCGGCCCAGCTCTGAGGGGGGCCACGAAGCCCCCGTGGGCGGCGTTCGTTTCTCCAGGCAGAAGGGGGGCCACCGGCGGCCCGGGGCACAGGGGTGCGGGGGGAGCAGTCCCCCGGGCTGCGGAGTGCAGGGCAGCAACGGTGTCCATCGAGGCACGAGCGGGGTGTGTGCTGGGCAGGGGCGCTCCCGGCAGAAACACCAGGGAAAGCCCCGCCCGGAGACCCAGAACCTTATCCCCGGGAGACCGCAGGTAGCGGTCTGCGGCCTTGCACCAGGGTCACGGGGTGACGTCCTCAGACGTCCGGGTGGCAACTTAGGAAAGCCTTACCGGAGGCTGCGGCGGTCAGGGTCATAGTGCTCGGGCAGGAGCTGCCCCAGGGTCCGGTAGATGATGACCAGGGCGACGGCGAACCGGCCCGGCTCATCGGGGTGCCTCTTGCGCCTCCTGAACGGGGCCTCCCTCTCGGTTCCGGGCCCCGGGGGCGCCGTCTGCGGGGCGGCCTTCCGGCCGGCCGGCCTCACCGTGGGGCCCTCTGCAACGAAGCAGATCGTGAGGATGGGGGCCGGACGCCTGTGTCCCCCACAAACCGCGTCCTACGCGAGCAAGCGCCGCCTGAAATCTGAGATTTCAGGGGAAGACAGCAGGTGGCTCCTCAAAAGGTTTACCACGGAGCCCCACGTGACCCCGCCACCCCACTTCCGGGCACGTGCCCTGAAGCGCCAAGGCAGGGAACACTCTCGGTCCCAGACGTGCTCTGTACCCACGGCGGGACAGGCTTCGGCCTCACGGGGGAATAAAGTACCACCAGCTGCCACCACGTGGACCAGCCCGGACCACACGATGCTCAGAGGGAGAAGCCAAGTACTGCGCAATTCCCCGTCCGTGGGCACCGGGAAATGCACAGCCAGTACAAGGGGGGCTCCGGGGCCTGAGTGTCTCGTGGGGAGACACAAGGTGAAGGTTCCAGGGCTCAGGGTGACGGCAGCTGCACGAGTGCAGACGGACAGAACGCAGCTTGAACTCTGCACCCAAGGGTGCTTAGGGCAGTACGTTTTACGTATATTTCAAAGTATCACATGCTGACGGCTGATCCCTTCCCCCGGGGGCAGGGGCCTCTGCCAGGGCTGCCCCACAAGCACGCGGGCGGGACAGGGTGCCGTTCGTGTGGGTCTGCGTCCCACACTTTTATCCCATGTGACTCACGGGCATGTTTTAGGTCATACGTGCTCCAGGGATGCAAGACGTCAGGTACAGACCACGTCAATAAGTCAACACACGTATTATGGGGGCGTAGACGCTTACAATTTCTTGCCACCACCTGCGGCATGGAACCACGGGTGCCAGAGACCCTGGTCCAAACCTTCCCCAGTCCCAGTGTCCACACGGGGTCACAGGAGGGGCTATCGGCCCTGCCCGTCCCACCGGCAGAGGGACACTCCCCTCCGATGCTCTGTGAACCTGGCCACACTCGCCCACGTTCTCAATGACTGACAAAATGCCCCTGGCAGCATCTGGTGCAGACGTCACCCCTGCAGACATCCAGACCACCCAGCGCTGAGCGTGTCTTGAGCACGGGCTCCAGGGAGACAGGAGGGCCAAGCCCTGAGGGCAGGGGTTCCGGGAGGGGCAGAGCCCCGGGAGACAAGCCCGTGGAGGGGCCACGAGGTGCGGCGGGGGCGGGTCTCATCCCTGCCACCCCTGGAGGGGGACGCTGCACACGGAAAGGCCCCAGCCCAGAACAGGTAACTCATCCCGGCAGACTGCCATCTGACCGACCGATGTCTGGCCCTCTGAGAGGGCACCTTCAACCTCCTGACCCCGCCCAGGGTCACTGACTGCTTTGCAGCACTGTTTAGTCCCATTCAGGCTGCTCAGTGACATTGGCTTTGGGGTCGGGCAGGGCAGGAGGCTCCCAGTGTCTCGAAGGTCACTGTTTTCCGAGGCGTGCACTGAGTGGCTTTCCGGAAGGTCAGCGCAGGAGGCCGAGGCCGGGCCTCCTCACCGGGCCAGCTGCAGGGCCTTACCACCCACTCTGCCTGCTGTGGCACACTGGTCACCCACCTGAGCCGCCCCCAGCTCCTCCTCTGGGTGGGGGGGAGGGCAGTGCCGGCTGCGGGGTTCTCTGAGCGAGAGGGCCAGGCGCTCCCCCAGGCTGGGTGACCCTGCCTGGGGCCTCCACCTGAGAGCCGGATGCCCTCCCAGGGCTCAGACTTGACCTGGACGGATGTGACTATCTTCACACAGCAAGAACATTCACGAGGACTTAACTCCTGGACGACCCCATGGAGTGGGCACCAAATAAACATGCTGACTCAGTTCCCCCTGGTCCTGCCTGCCGCCTCTCTTCTAGTTGCTTCCGGAAGCAGGAGACGGTCCGGCTGCCAGCAGAGGCTCGCCAGGGCTCTGTCCTCCTCCTCCAGCAGGGCTGCTGCCTCTGGGGAGCACTGCATCACACTAGAGGCCGCCGGGTGCACTGGACAGCGTCCCGGGTCACGGTGGCCTCCTGGGAGCGTCCCGCCCCTTCCCAGTGTCTGCTCTGGGCCTCCGTGACTGGCTGGCTCCAAAGCCTCAGAGTCTCCTACGACTTGACTGGCTCTCTGCATCTCTAACTAACCAGCCGGCTAGCAGGTGGGTCCCAGAGGCTCCCCTTGGGCAAGGCATCTGGGCCAAGGGTGGGTCATGGCACGGGGACAAGAGGGGCCCGGAGTCCAGAGCTGGGACAAAAGCCCGCCTAGGGGGCAGTCAAGGCAAAGAAAGATTGGGGCCAAGGTGGGAAGGTCAGTGTCTGAGTCAGGCTGGCAAGGCCGAGGCGGCGGGTGAAAGGTGGGCAGAGGCCAGGCCTCGGAGCCAAACCCTAGGGCTCCATCTAAGTCATCGTCCTGTAGGCGAGGAAGACGGTCTTCCAGGAGGGACAGAAGCAGACAGTGGGACACCAAGGGGCTGGGGGGCTGGGCTGCACCCCCTCCACCTCCTGTAAGCTCTCCCCCCGGGAGACCCGCCCTCATTTTTGGCTACAGGAGCTTAGGATACTTTTCTCTGCCACGTGGTGAGCCAGGTGTTTGCAGAAACTGGAGGGCAAGGGAGGTCACAGGAGCCAGGGGCTGAGTCTTGTCATCAGCAGAAGAATTGGCAGAGTTTACTACGGGCTGGTGGTGTAGCTAACCGACGAGTTGAATAAGACACCACGTGCGGGGCCGAGGGGACCTGCGCATCAGCCGGCGGCTGTCCCAAGGCCAGGAGGGCAGCAGGCGCCAGAAGCTTCTCTCACGGGACCTTCTAAAGCCAATTAGGCTCCGCGTGTCCACTCCTGATGCCACAGGCTCCCAGAGAGAGGATGACCCAGGGGTCAGTCCAGAAGCAGAAACACTGACGATGTCAGAGAAAGAGCCTGCTTTTTTAGGGCAAGGTAAGACACCACGTTCACAGGTATATGTACACGTCCCTTCCAAGGACAGCTGTGGACAAACTGCTGAGAGCTAGAAACCCAAATGGGTCCCAAATTATTTGAAAGGTGGGGTCAGTGTCAAGGTGGACCCTACATCAGAGGACCTGGGTGGCTCAGGTGGTTAAGCATCCGACTTCGGCTCAGGGCATGATCTCACAGTTTATGGGTTTGAGCCCCGCGTCGGGCTCTGTGCTGACAGCTAGGAGCCTGCAGCCCGCTTCCGATTCTGTGTCTCCCTCACTCTCTGCCCCTCCCTCGCTCATGCTCTGTTTCTGTCTCTCAAAAATACACGTTTAAAAAAAGTCAATAATAAAAAAAATTTGGCACTTGAATAATAAATAATACCACAGAACTGACAAAACTAATTTACCAAAAACATTCCAGATTTTAAATTCGCCGTTACAGAATGTCACAAGTCCCCTATATTTTGAGACGTATCTGGAGTGCATCGGTGAAAAATACTTTAAGGAAATTCCAAATGTTTAAGCCTTTTGGTAAATAACCCTAAGCCAGGACTGAAGAATTGGCTTGCTTTTTGGGGGGCGGGTGGATTCTAAGATTTTACCGACAGCTTTTCCCTGTACGTCGGGGTAGAACAGCTCACACACAACCTAAGCACTCTCTCGTGTATCCCGTCGCGAATGAGCCAAGTATCTGTAAGAAATGACCCACCACGGGGGCTTCTGGGTGGCTCAGTCGGTTGAGCATCCGACCTCGGCTCAGGTCATGATCTCACTGTTCGTGAGTTCGAGCCCCGCGTTGGGCTCTGTGCCGACAGCTCGGAGCCTGGAGCTACTTCGGATTCTGTGTCTCCCTCACTCTCTGCCCCTCCCCTGCTTGTGCTCTCTCTCAAAACTAAATAAACATTAAAAAGAATTAGGGGCGCCTGGGTGGCGCAGTCGGTTGAGCGTCCGACTTCAGCCAGGTCACGATCTTGCGGTCCATGAGTTCGAGCCCCGCGTCGGGCTCTGGGCTGATGGCTCAGAGCCTGGAGCCTGTTTCCGATTCTGTGTCTCCCTCTCTCTCTGCCCCTC